TTAAATTGATCAAAAATTTACATCAATTGTATCTGATTTTTTAAAATGTTGATAGCATGCACAAAAAAAGATGTAACCTGTTCATTTTTTGTCTACCTCACACATTTCTTATTTACTTCATATTTTTATAGCTATATGTTGCTTCTATTAAGTGGAACTATAAAATATTGAAGAGGTACGCTTTATGAGACCGGTACGCATTCGGCAACTTTCCCCTATATGTAGTATAAAATATTGAATTTTAATAATTTTTTAATAATTTTCAATAGTTATTTTTTTGTAAATCCAATAGTATTTTTCCAAAAGGGAATTACCAATTGTTTTTTTTGTTTTTTTTTGTTTTTTTTCTTTTTTTAACTAAATACCTACAGTTTTACATACTTGATATCGAATAAGTATACATATATGTATATACTTATACATGTATAAGTTTAACTTGTAATAGTTATCATGCTATCTCTCATAGATAGGTAAAACGAGTTAAACTAAATAGAAAACCGCTTTGCGAGTTCAATAATTATAAAAAAATTAATTAATAAAGATCCGCAAATCAACGTGCGCCCGCGCGATTCGATGAAAAAAGATGGTCCAGTATTATGCTAGATCAACAATTATAATTGCTAGGTGTGTAGCGAAGCATTGAAAGGTGAGCACGCATCTACAAAAACGCAACAACAAATAATACCTATACGTAATGCTAAACAGTCTCTTATTTAAATACACGCTCTTTCGCAGGCACTTATTCATTAATTTCTCATTAAATATCGAAAAACTCGCAAAACAATAAATAATTTTTTTATTTAGTTTAATCCCGCTATGCTAAAGGTAGCATAGTAATGATAACCTATATAAAATGTTAATTAAAATATGGTTCTTTAAATTCACTAAATAAATAATGGAAAATACTATTATATCATAATATTTATATTTTTACAGTATTAAATAGGATATAAAGAAATCTACAACTAGACATTAATTTTGGATTACAATGATTTATGTAAAATTGATCAAATCGTATTACTGTAACGAATTTTTTTTTAATTCTTGAACGAAGATTTCTCTAGCAAGATTATAGACATTGTTTGTT